AGCGCCGCCGCACTCCCAAGCACTGCACTCTACCGAGTGCGCCACCGGGCCAGCCCTTAAAAGCCTTATTAACCAGGCCGGCCCGGTGGCGCACTGCTACAGTGCGCCGCTTGGGAAGTGCGGCAGCGCTCCCGCCGAGGGTTCGGATCCCACATATAGACCGGCCGCTCACTGGCTGAGCGAGGTGCGGGGGCAACACCAAGGGTTGCGATCCCGTTGCCGGTCCCGGTCCGGTACGGGCGCGACACTGAGGGTTGCGATCTGTTGCCGGTCACAACAAAAGACAAAAAAGGAAAAAAAAAAAAAGCCTTATTAACCAACAAACATACTGTTTGCAAAATATTTTTTTAATGATTTTTTTTTTTTAATTTGGCTCCTAATTCTTTTTTATAATTCAGGTTGATTCTGGTTGCAGATTTTATCTCACAACATTAAAAACTGCTTGAAAATACTAGTTAGCAATAAAGTATTTGCACACTAAATCCCTCAAAACTCTTACCTTGGCGATTTTTTCGTATTCGTTTTGCTTGAAGAATTTGCTTTTTGCACTCAGCAATTTTTTCATGTGCTCCAGCAATGCTACATTCTATATAAAAGGGGTATTTTTAAAGATAGTTATAAAAACATGTATAACCTCCATCCATTTTCAATTTTAAAATGTGTTTCTAAACTGAAGTACCATTGCTAACAAAATAGATGCTGGCATTTAAAAAAATTGTTACCCAAAGTATTGTATTTAACATATACTGTATTCTTTCTATCCATATAGTAACTGTTATCCTTTTACCACCAACCAAAGAAAACTGTTAGCAGATACTGTTTCTTTTAGACCATAAAAAGTAAAATTACATTAAAAGTAGAAACATTACTTTGTTTCTTTACCTATTTCTTTGTAAATTTTTTCATAATTTTCCATTTCTCTGAGATTCATATCATATACCAGCAAAGTTTTGCCCATTGAAAATTCGCATTGAGACAGTGTGCTCAGCATACGTTGGTACTGGCTATATCTAATGAAAAAGAGAGAAAAACAGAATAAAGATGGTTATAATTTCCCAAAGATAAACCATTACAATGCAGGCAAAGATCTGCTAATTAAATTATACTAAGTTCTGAGAGAATCATTTGCTTTATTAAAAATAATTTAGAATACCTGTCCCTTATGTTTTTTTCCAAATGTGGTGTACTTGAGTTTTAAACTGCTTTCGTTACAAATGCAAGGATGGGGCTGTTGTTCTTATCAATATTAATTCAAACAACTATTTGTTTGAATTTTGCTTAAAACACTTCAAAAAATATTACAATTAAGACAGTTTTCTTATCTTCATAATTTTGTTCTATTTCTTCACTCTATACAAGTATTTATCTACATAGAAAGTGAATTCAAATGAGGAAAAAATTTACATGTTAAAAAGTATTAAAGAATGTGTGTGTGTGTTTGTGTGTGTGTGTGTGTGTGTGTGTGTGTAGATACATTGCAGTGGATTGATTATCCCCCCAAAACTCATTGAAACTTAACCTCCACTGTAATAGTGTTAAGAAAGTGGGAAATCCACTCATGGTAGATAAAAAGTGGGGCCTTTAACAGGTGATTAGATTGTGGGGACTGTGACTTCATGAATGGATTGATCCATTCATGGAGTAACAGGCGTTGTTCTGATGGCTTTAAAAGAAGTACAAGTGAGGAAGTTAGGTCTCTCCTGATCAGTCTGTTCTTGCCATATGATACCCTGCATTGCTGTGAAGAGTCACCACCAAGAAAAAGCCCTCACCAGATGTGTTCCCTGGACTTTGCACTTCCTAGTCTCCAAGACTGTAAAAAATAAATTTTATTTCTTTATACATTACCCCGTTTTTAGTATCCTGCTATAAGCAACAGAAATGGGCTAATATGTACACACACACACACACACACACACACACACACATATATACACACGTACATGTATATATGTATATATGTGTATTAGTACATTTCTGTTACAAAATATCTAAATGAAATTTCCCCCTTATTAATAAGTTAATAAAAAGTTGCTGCAAGATATATGCGTAAAACAAATATATATAAAATAAAATAAATAAAATTTTATATCTTTACACATTACCCAGTTTTAGGTATTCTGTTATAAGCAACAGAAACAGACTAATATATATAATAAAGCCTGTTTTATTTTATATATTTTTTTATTTTATATATATATCATGCAACTTTTCATTAACTTATTAATAAAGGAGAAAATTTCATTTAGTATTTTGCCCTCCTAAACACCTATCTGTTAAAAGTAACCAAATTAATGAGCCTGAATTTAATCTTCATTTCTTCTCATCACTCTGCCTTATACACGTTTTAATAAACATAATGGAGGCCTCTAAAGAGAACAAAAGGCCAGAAAAATCTACTCTTGATTAATCAAGAGTTGGCTCCACTGAACATTTAAGGTGAGTAAAAATTTGTAATATTAACAGGACCTTAATACATGGTCTAAAATCACATCAGGACATTGGTATAGAAACAACAGTCAAATGAAATACCCCTCTTCCTGGGATCCAGAATTGCACCACTTAATGAAACTCTTCACTAGCAGATTAATTCTCCGATCATCTCCAGCACCATCTCCATCAATTAGGAGACGCTTCCGTATGACTTCATCTGGAGGAAAGAAGGGCAATGTTAATTACAATGACCATCTGGCTCTTGGTAACTTTCAAGGACAAATAACCAATATCACTACTCATTCATTCAGACAAAAAAAAATTATTGAAATGCAAATGTGCTTAATGCCATAGAACTATACACTTTAAAAATGGCAACTTAAAATCATATATTTTATGTATTTATATATAAAAATACTTATATATTAAAGAAAAAAGGAGAGTTATTGAGTGTCTATCATGTGTCAGGCACTGTTCTAGGGGATGGGGTTATAGCCATAAAAAGCCTTGTCCTCACAGAGTTGGCATTCTACTGGGCTGTTGAGTAGAAATAATATTCAGGTATGACCAAGAAAATACGCCAATAATTCTTAGAGAAGCTTTTTTGAAGAAACTTGTCCAGACAGAAGTACAGAATGTTTATGTCTCTAGCTACTGAGAGACACTGGTAAAAGGAATAGAAAGAAAAGATTTAAAAGATGTAGTGGCAGACTAGGAAAAGAGAATGAGAAATGGGTCAGAGAAAAAAGAATGGATTTGTTAAATAGAAGTATAATTTAGTTATATATCTGTAATGTTTCTTTTCTCATGAAGTTTTTTGTTTTGTTTAGTTTTTTTAACAAGACTGTCTTGCTTTTGCTCCAAGGAAAAGAAAAAGAGAAAAAGGAATAGAAAAGCAGTGCAGGTGATAATGATGCATAACAAATGGGTTCCCAACCTGCTTGCCTGGCAGTCCTGAGCTAGTGTTCCTACATAAACAAAATGATTCTGGATCATAACAAGAGAAAGGCAAATTGAAACCACAATAAAATATCATTTCTCATCTAGCAGATTGACAAAGATCAAAAGACCTAATAATAAAAGTGTTGGCATGGGCATTGGAAAGGTGCAGTCACACACACTGATGGAATGTAAACTAGTACACTCTTTGTAGGGCTACTCAATAACAAAATTTAAAAGGGACATACCTTTCTGATCCCATAATCCCAGTTCTAGAAATCTATCCTACAAATATATGTGCACCCATTCACAAAGACATATGTAAAGGGATGTTCTTAGTGGTGCTGTTTGTAGTAGAAAGATTGCAAAACTAAACATTCACCAGTAAGAGACTGGTTAAATTATGAAACATTCATATAATGTAAAAGTATACAGCCAAAAGAATTCAGATGTATATACTGATGCCAAATACTCTCCTTAGATATGCTGAGTAAAATGAAAACAAAACAGGTGCAGAGAAGTATATACAGTATGTTGCCACAAGTGTAGAAAATGAGGCTTTGTGTGTGTGTGTGTGTGTGTGTGTGTGTGTGCGCGCGAGTATATACAGTATGTTGCCACAAGTGTAGAAAATGAGGCTTTGTGTGTGTGTGTGTGTGTGCGCACGTGCGCGCACCTCAATGTATGTGTGTATTCAGAGAATATCTTTGGAAGGATCCATAAGAATTGTGGTTGTTTCTGGTAAGAGGGACTACAGGTAGAGGTGAGAAAAGATCTAATTTTCCTACATGCCTTTGTAGAGTTTTTGGGGGGTTTTGTTTGTTTTTTATGATGTGCATGCATTATATTTTTTAAATAAATTTTAAAGTGTAAATAATTCCTGGAGAGCCTACATGATGAATCAACAGCAAAATCTTTAAACAATAGTTCCTGTGTATAGGCAGAAGTAGTTCTGAGTGCGGGTGCAGTGGAGATAAATTTTGGAAGGCAGATGGCTCCAGTTTTAAAATATATTCTGTGATAACATCAGATAAACATTTTTAGAATTGGGTTTGGTTCTGAGAGTCATGACCTTGACAGACTGCTCAAGCTACAGGCTCACCAGGTGTTTTAATTTTACATTTTAAAAATACAAACTAATGCTTTCAGTTTTTAACCACCAACAATGTTATTTGAAGAGACTGAGACAAAACAGTCTTCAAAAAGATTAAAATGCAGAAAATGAATTGTTTTTGGGTTTTTAACTACAAATGTTTTAACTTTATTAAAATAAAAGGAAACATCCACTGGGTGAGGCAATTTGGTGGTACTGATGCTGTTCAACAATTCCTTGGCCGGTCTTCTTATCTCCGCTCTCCTCAAGTCCCCAAGAAACCCCATCTTCTTCCCAAATATCTGGGCCTCCTACTTTATTAAGGACTGGGTATTTCAAATGTAAATGCATTCAGGGAACAGGCAAATAACATTTAAGGGAAACTGGAGAGTGAGTGCCTGACCGAGTGGGAGTCTATTACCAGATCTGATTTTTCGAGAGATTTTTAAAGTTTGATAACTAATTAAAAATGTTTAAAGCATTTTATGATCATTCCAGCTGTACACTTAAGATCTGTGCACCTTATGTATGTATGTAATATGCCAATTACAAAAGTTTTGGAAAACATTTAGAACACTGTACAGGCCAAATAAACCAAAACTATAGGCTAGTCTTGTCTTCCCCACTTGGGAAAAAGGTTCACGAGAGCCAGTCCTGTATCTTGTTCATTCTGTTTCCTTCCCAGCATTTCACACTATGTGTTATGCATTTCAGATGTTCAATAAATATCTTTAAATTGTATCTGTGGTAACTGCACAGGACCAAAGCTTCTAAAGAGCTTTGTCTCAACAAAACACTAACAACGACTAGCAGGCAACTATCTTATTTCCACATCCACAGTAGTGATTATTCTACTTATACAAAAGACATGGATATCTAATCAATGAGCAGATGTGCCAGAGTAAGTTCTGAGGATATGAAATAAAGACCTGAGCTCTTTTACTCTCACTGGAGAAATAACACACATATGAATACACATATACAGAGGAGGCTGTAATTGTTAAATGAGTGACACAGAAACACAACAGAGATTAGAAAGAGCTCCCTTTGGCTTGGGGAGGGGTGAGGGAGCAGAGTGGGATCAGGGAAGGTAGAATTTGAGCTGCTCTTTTGATATTTAAAATTCATCAATCATACAACTGAAGGCATTTTATCAATATCTATCAAAATTTCAAGTAACATACAGCCTTTGACCCAACAATCCCAGATACACTTACACATGTGCAATATAATGTCAGATTAATCATTGGAACATTATAATAACAACATACTGGCCGGCCCGGTGGCGCACTGCTCAACAGTGCGCCGCTTGGGAGCGCGGTGGCGCTCCCGTCGAGGGTTCGGATCCCACATACAGACCGGTTTCCGCTCACTGGCTGAGCGAGGTGCGGGCGCGGCACCGAGGGTTGCGATCCCGTTGCCGGTCCCGGTCCGGTACGGGCGCGACACTGAGGGTTGCGATCCATTGCTGGACACGAAAAAAAAGACAAAAAAAGGAAAAAAAAAAAAAACATACTGAAAACAATGCAAATGTCTATCAACAGGGGACTAATTAAATTTTGGTACAAGAACATGATTAAATACTATGAAGCTATAAAAAAAAGAATGAGGATGCACTCTATGTAATGATATAAAGAGATCACTTAAAATAAATTGGTAAAAGAGCAAGGTGAAGAACAGCATGTATGTTATGTTCCCTTTCATATAAAAATGGAGAAAATAGAAATATATAATATGTGGTTACATTTGCATAAATACCACAGAAGGATGTACAAGAAACTAATAAAAGGGGTTACCAAGGGAGGTATAAGGAGGGTCAGTGAGGGACAGGCTGGAAGATGGAGGAATCTTTTCACACTATTTGATTTTTGAACCACATGAGAACTGAAAAGCTGTTGTTCTGTAAAAAGAAAGAAAGCTGAAGTCTTTTTCCTTCCCCCACTCCAGGTAGAGGTGGGGAATGAAAGGCTGGATATGGGGCATGAGTACGCTGGAACACTAGGGAGGCTGGATGACTGAAGACAAATAGTGGGACCCAAGGATACACAGGCAGTTAGGGGTCAGACTGTGGGAGTTGCACCAGTAAATATAAAGACCTTGCTGGTAGGCAACTGGGAGTTGCTGAAGTCACAGGCATAAACTTCTAGGAGGATCAAGCTGAGAGCAGTATACAAATTGGATTGCAACTGGGAAAGGCCAAGAGGGAAGGAGGCTAGTTAGGAGGCTACCAAAGTACATGGAGTTAGGAGATAAAATGGCCTGAAAAAAGGTGAGGAGATTAGAATCACAGGTCCTGGAAGGCAAGTTAGGACTGAGTAGAGACTTGGTTAGGAAAGGCAAGAGCCAATGCCAACTTTGGGGTGGTATGAGGGGAGTTATGGTATGAATAGTTCTGGCAGCACAGGGGATCCCTGTCCGGGCATCTATAGGCTCTCCTCCCACTGCAGCCCTATCCCTCTTCAGTCTAAGCACACCTCCTCACCGCCAACCCCCTGGGCCAGAAATCAAAAACTGAAGCCAATGTGTTGGTCCGCTCAATTTTACTTTGTGTGTGTGTGTGTGTGTGTAGGCACATGTGCATGTATGCATGAGACCAACATTTGACCTCATTTGTAAATTGGGAATAAAACTGTCTACTTATTAGGACTGCTGTGAAACTTTATAGAAATAAAAGTAAGCAAAGGAGCACACTGCCTTATCTATAGTAGAAAAACAAACAAATATGTTATCCTTATCTTTATGTTAAGTTTAATCCACAATTTGCATCATCCTAAAAACGTTAAACAGATACATATTATGCATTTATGCCTATAAAATTTTGCCCAGTTATGATTTCTCACAAATTTGCTTCTGTCTCAAATTTACTGCAAGGTCATGTTATTTCTGGCTTAAATTGTACATAGACAGTTGCTGTCTTGAAAACTTTCTGTGGACAAGAATTACTAAAATAACACATATAAAGTGTAGATCACAGCTCCAACAGCAAAAAAGTAAAACAAAAAAGTCCCCAGTTTGAGAATAGTCTCTTATTTTAAATTTAAAGATGGTCTGCTGCTGACAGTTGCTAACGTATATGGCATGAGCATTATTATTTTTAATGACATCTTATTAACTAGCTCCACACTGAACACAATTAAAACATTTTGTTTACTATACACATTGACTTCATAAATTATCATGCTTGA